ACTGTGGGTGATGAAGTGATATAACCATCGCAAACACCATTCACTAAAGCCACGTGACTCAACATGTATGTGTTACCTGAAGTACAATCGTGTCAATACCCCCTTACTAAACCGGTTGATATCCCTATCAACGTTTTGCATGACGACGACGTTATTAATCCTCCGAATCCGTGTCAACCGAGCTGTCTGAATCCGAGTCTTCGTCGTAGAGCCAATCGGGCTGTGGCTTATCGAGATGAGCTTCGAAAAACTCCTGAAGACGGAGACGAGCGTGCTTGAATTGCCAAATCGGGTAGTATGTAAGATCAACGTCATGACCAAACCATTGTACGCGGACCTTGATGTTGTCTGAGGTGTGACGCCCACGGCCTCTCTTCACGTCAAGAATCCGTTCCACCTCCCACTCTTCGACTCCGTCGATGATTACCGGTGGCGCTGGAGGCGGAATCTGGCCAGGCAGGGGGTTCTCCGGATGTTTGAAGAGGAGCGACACGTGGAAGACGGGATGGATTGCCATCGTGGTAGGCAGTTCTAGCTTGAAAGCGACAGGAGAGATCTGCTTCAGAACCTTGAAGGGGCCTTCCTTCTTGTGATCCAGCTTCTTCGCCTGTCGGTTGGTCTTAACGTAACGAGTGTCCAGCCAAACGAGGTCTCCTTCCTCGATATCTGATGGTCGTCTCTTACGGTTCGCACTCTTGGTGTACGTGTCTTGTGCCTCCTTCATCCTCTGTTGTGCCCATGTCCAAACTTTCTCCATCTGTCCTGTGATTGCTTGGGCCTTGTCAAAACCAAGGGCTTCCGAAGGTTTCGATGGCGCGGAAGGGGGGTCGAACGACATGCGGGGCGTGAATCCGTAGTTAGCCATGAATGGCGAGATGCGAGTTGAATCGGATTCGTTGGCGTTAGCGGCGAATTCAGCGGAGGGGAGCAGATCGTCCCAGTCGTCTTGATTATACGAGGTGAAGGTGCGCAGATAGCGTTCCACTTCTTGATTGGCATTCTCTGACTGGCCGTCCGTTTCGGGATGGAAAGCTGTCGAGAGCTTCGGCTGGACACGGAGAATCCGGCAGAACTCCCTCCAAAGGGCGCTGTCGAACTGGCTGCCCCGGTCGGTAACGATCGAGTCGGGTAGCCCATGGAGGCGATAGATCTCTTTGTACACGATCTTGGCTGTCTGCTCTGCAGAGATCCCGTCGTCTCCTGCTCTGCACGCAACGAAATGACGCTGTTTCGACAGACGGTCGACAACCGTGAGAATGGTGTTATTTCCTGCCTTCGTCTCCGGAAGACCAACGATGAAGTCTATGGTGATATCCCGCCAGACACCCGTAGGCACCGGAAGTGGTTGAAGTAGCCCTTGAGGTCGACGGCGGCTAGGCTTCATTCGTTGACACGTATGACAGTTATTGACGTACTGCTCAATTCGTGAAAGGAGCGATGTAAAGGCGAATCGGGCCCGAATCAGGACTTGAGTCTTTCGAATGCCAGGGTGTCCGGCCTCAAGGCCGTCGTGAACTGTCTGTATGACCGTGGTGACGTGTGATTCTGGGACGATTATCCTTTTATTCAGGAACAGTGCCCCATCTTTGACTGAAAGCTTGTCGTATGCCCAGCCTTCAATCGTTTTCTTATCCCCTCTAGACTCCTGAAGATCTGACAACTCTTGACGAACTTCAGAGAGTCTCTGATCTGCGATGTTTGCCTGCTGAATATCATCCCAAAGCGACGAGGCTATCGTAACGGCGGCGACGTTGAGATCTTGTCGAACCTCGTCGGAGAGATTCCCCGCTGGGAGCATAGTCTGGCACATGTTCGGGTCGAGCTTCGCACGCGGGAGGAGCGGGTCGTCGGATCGACGCGTTAAAGCATCGGCTTTCGCATTCTGTGCGCCTGGGCGGAAGGTGATCTGGAAATCGTACTGAGAAAGCTCAGTCGCCCACCGTGCTTGGCGCCTCGTTAACTGTTGCTTCTTCATAAAGTATTCCAAAGCCTTGTGATCTGTCAAGATGCGGACGGGGTCATCGGAGGTCCCGGCTTGCATCAACTCTGGTTTCCACTCCTCGAAGGCCTGAACAATGGCCAGGAGTTCTTTGTCGTAGATTGCGTAGTTCTGCTGTGCCGGACTCATTGTCTTCGAAAAATATGCGACGGGGCGGAGGTCTCCGTTGTCGTCCTTCTGTGAGAGGATTCCACCGGTGGTCCGATCAGATGCATCGCACTCTACGTAGGTGGTCCTCTCAGGCTTGAAATGTGCCATAACCCCATTTCCCATGACGTGACCCTTGAGCGTCTCAAACGCGTGTAGATGCTCCTCTGTCCAGAGGTGAGGATCGTTATTCTTAGTGAAGTTGTATAGCGGCGATGCGACGCGACTGAAATTTTTGATGAATCGGCGAAAGAAGTTACAAAAACCGATGAATCGACGAACTTCCGTAATCTGTCCGTTCTTTGGTTCGGGCCAACTCTTAATGGCTTCGATTTTCGCGGGATCCATGCGTACGCCGTCTCCAGACAAGACCACGCCAAGGAACTTAACTTCTGCCTTGAAAAACTCACATTTCGTGATGTCGATGTAGACCTGCATCTCTCGAAACCTCTGAAGGGCTGCACGACAGTGCTGAATATGTTCCGCACGAGACTTTGAGTGGACGATGAAGTCGTCAACGTAGCATTCGACGAAGGCTCTCATATCGATGAAGTTATCGTTCATAAACTGCTGTTGAGTTCCAGGGCCTCCTTGCAAACCAAAAGGGAGGACTAGGTACTTGAAAGTCCCATATCTGCAGTTGAACGCCGTGAGATCCTCATCCTTCTTTGTCTTCATGCGAATCTGATGGAACGCGGCAATGAGATCGAACTTCGTGAACTCGATAGAGTTAGCGACCCTATCAATGGTCTCGTCAATCCTAGGTAACGGGTATCGCGACTTCTGTGACAAGGCGTTCAGCCTGCGGTAATCAGCGCAAAACCGGATACCTCCTCCCGGCTTCCTTACGAAAAGCGTAGGAGAAGCGTATGAGAATTGTCCAGGTTCAAGGAGTCCACGTCCCATCATATCAACCAAGTAATCGTAAATAGCTCGATCCTCATCTGGCGTACAGCGGCGAAGGGGCTCCGTGGTCGGCAGTTCTGCGCCGGGCAAGAGGTTAATCTCGTGGTCCCACTTACGGTGTGGAGGAAGAGCGTGTGCCTTCTCGTAATTGCAGACGTCGACGTAGTCGCGGAGCTCTTCTGGCATCATAGCAGCGATCTCCTCTTGTGTCATGTCCTCTAGGCGACGCTTCTTCTCTTTCTGCTCTTGGATCTCCTTCAAGGTGACGGCGAAGACTTCGAGTCTTCCCTGCTGACGTTGTTCCGCTATCTCCTTATACATCTGCCAAGCATTGATAGCAGAGATATTAACAGGGGTGGTTCCCGTTGATTGGGTTAGTGACAGCGAGGAAGAACGTTTATCCGACGTCTGGTCTCTTTTTGACACCTCTTATTGCGTCTTCTTACTCATCCATCCTGGAGTGTCCGATCTCTTGAGAATCGCTGTTAGGGTGATTCGCTTCACCGGAGGGAGCTCCTTGCCGTTGCGGTTAACGTCGTTAGAGATGACCTGAATCGATTTGGTGGCGTCCGCGAGTTCTGTCTCCGTCATCCGTTCAAAGGAACCAGGATGCGTATAGATCAACCGACGTTCCGCATCCAGGTCTTTTCCATTTGGTTGCGAGCGGTATCCACCAGGGTGGTCGCAGACGTTGTTCTTAAACCAAAGGGTACGGTTCGATGCATCTGGGAGTACGCCATGTGCCGCGAGCCAAACGTCGCCGATTAAGAGCTTCGAGTCTCCAAGCTTGGCGGAAACGTAACAAAACATGTCATCTTGGTAATGTCCTTGTATCGTCATAGGGAGTAGCACTGCGTACTTCAGTGTAGAAGATATCTTGCCTTCCCAATCGGTACTGACGATAGGCTTCCGCAGCTTTAAGAATGGCCTGCCGAGTTTCTCACAGACTTCCTTCGCCAGTTGGTACTCAATGATTCCGTTTACCGTCGCTCCTGTATCGATCTTTGCTCTGGCGAAGATGCCCTGATCGGGACCAAATTGAATAGAGACTTCGAAAGGACCATTGCTGTTGGGCATCCCCGTCAAGACCGCTGAAACGGAAGCTCCCGAAATGTCTGTTATATCGTGCAACCTGTTCGCGTCGAGGTGTTTCGTGTCTACTTCATCAAATTCGATTGCCTGTTCGGATACGCCATCGCTCAGGACTCCTGCGATGGCTGGGCGTTTTCCGCCGGCTTATCAGGGCAGTTCCTAGCAATGTGACCCGCCTTGTGGCAGGTGTAACACAGCGTGTTGGTCATGTCTCGTGGGCGGAAAGTGGTGGTATTGCCATTCGTCGGCCTAGGGAATGAGGGCGGAGCTGTTCCGGGGCTCGTCGTCGCTGTCGTCGTCGCAGCGTTCTGATTTCGGTTCTGAGTCTGCTTCTTCTTCTGTTCAAGGCGATCCACTTGCTTAAAGTTCATGTCCACCAAACAGAGCTGCTTTACCAGACCGTCAAGGTCTTCCGTGGCGAAAGATAGTAAGGCTTGTTGGAATCGAAGGTTGAGCTTATCCCTGAGTCGGAGAGCCCTCTCCTTCATCGGGATCTCCGCCTCGGTGGCCAACCTTGTGAAGATCCTAAGGAATTCTCCCAAGGTCTTGTTTGCTTGAAGGAGAGTGTCGAACTCCTTCCAGGCGGTCTGTCTCGCAAACGGGTCTTGGTACTGGTCTCTCAAGAGCTTCGTTACTTCGGCCAGAGTCTGGACTCGCTGAGAGTTATTCTTGTCAAGGTGAGGTTCCAGGTACGCGGCAGCGTCACCTCCCAGGCGCGTGGCGGCGTAGGCGACCCTGGCAGCGTCGGTCTCAAATCGATCAGAGTTAATAACAAGTTTGTCTAGGAGTGTCCTTTCCCAAACGCGATACTCTTGGTGGCCTCCACCGGTGAAGATTAGTGGATCCGGGAGCTTTTCCGACTTCGGCATCCGTGTGCCTCCTGCTGTCATGAAGGTCGTTCCATGACCCTCGTCGTTAAGGCGCTCTTCCGCTACTTTAGCAAGGAGCTCGTTCTTCTGGTTCACTGTCTTAGTGAGTTTTTCTCCGTCATCCATTGCGACCGTTAACTCCTCCTCTAGTTCTTCGATCCGTTGTTCGTTATAGAGGGATTCCTTGAGTAAAGTGCGAAGCAACATGATCATCGTCGGAGTGTTGTCCCTCATGTACTTTGTTGCATGTTTGACAAAACGATCATCGTCGCCGAAAACCTCTTTTAGCTTCTCGAGAAGCTCTCGTTCTTGTTCCTCTTCAGTCTCCTGACTGTATGCCGCAGGAGCTTTCGGTGCTCCGCTCGACGACATCTTCGGTTTCGCAATTTCGGTAGCGGCCGGTCCTCTAGGTGTAGTTTAACGTCCTACGTGACAAGTAGTAGCGAGCTTAGTATTCTGAAACACTAAGACTAAGAGCAAGGGCTCGTTTAGGTAGCAAAACGGTTTAATACTAAGCTAGCGAGAAAGAGAGAGAATCTAAGATACACTGTGGGTGATGAAGTGATATAACCATCGCAAACACCATTCACTAAAGCCACGTGACTCAACATGTATGTGTTACCTGAAGTACAATCGTGTCAGAGGGCCAGGAAAGACCTGACAAGTGCAGAGATATAGAACAGTCATCAGGTCTATGGAAGCAGTTTGAACAGAACGGCTTACTTTTCAGAAGCAAGAAGTGGGAACACCTGTATTTATCGTTGTACGCTGAATAGCTGCCACTAGGGCGGCTGGGACAGCCTATGAACCAATCAATCAATCAATCAAAGCTTATTTGGGCTACTACTTGATGCCTCAGACATGTTCATAGATGATGGCGTAATATTCAGTCGGGCAGCGCTAAACCAAAACAAGGAATTAACCTCCATTACCATTTTCAGAATCCAGGAAACTGGTTGCTAGGTTAATGAATTTCGGAATATTAGTTAACAAGATTTGAGTTCTCATCTAGTGAGTTGGAGAAAATCGAATTTGGACTAGCTATTCTATGGCAATTGACGACACTCCTAATATATCCCCCAAGGTTTAATTACCCGATTCTTATCCTCATCATTTTCTTCCGCATTGTCCTCTGTTCCCTTCCCAGCTTTAATTTCTCATACTTGTCGAACAACCGCTTTATTGCTCTGTCGGCCTGGGACCGCGGGGTCAAGCCATCGTTATCTCGCGAGTCGATATGGACGTCATCTAACTTAAGCAACAGCTTGACCACTTCTGGACGGAATCGTACCGCTAGCGCTAGCGGCGTTCGACCATCGTTGTCCTTCAGGTCAAAGTCGATACTGGCCTGCTTAAGCAGTAGCTGTACTACCCCTTCGTCGCCCACGGCTGCGGCCTTATGTAGTGGGGTCTGTCCTCTTTGATCCTTCGAATTGACATCAATACCTCGCTTAAGGAGTCGATCGACCACGGTGTCGTGGCCTCCAGATGCGGCAATGTGTAACGGTGTCTCGCCATCTTCGGTTCGTGAGCTGGCATCCACGGCGTCATGCTCAAGTAATCGGTCGACTGCGTTCACGGCGCCTTCGGCCGCTGCTAGTGCTAGCGGCGTAAGGCCAAATTTGTCCTTTATATCCGGTTCGATTCCTTCCAACTGGAGTAAGAACTCGATTACTTCCTCGTGGTTTTCGTGAGCCGCATAATGCAATGGTGTCCGACCGGATTCGTCTCCCAAGTTGCCATTGAAGCAATTTTTGCGGAGCAAAATTACAACGATCTCCTCGTACCCAAGCCGGGATGCCTCGATGAGAGCATCTCGGACGACAAGATCCGCCTCCGTTGGGATAGTAGGTAGCAACATGTTAAGTGAAGTTAAAATCGATGTCGTGGATGGCAACTGTAGTAAAAGGTAGAAGGGGCAAGTAGTAGTGCCTAAGTTATAGAGTGAATGAGGATAGGACAAAGTGTAACGAGGACAGGACCGCCTTTAAGTAGACATCTGCCGTACCTAAAGCGCCGCTCCTGCTCCTTTCCCTGCCACCTAGTTCTAGCACGGCATAAACATCTCCGTAGGGCTCGTTTCCGGTGAGTCAGAAGAATGGGGAGAACGAGGGAAGCGATTGGATGTCGTTCCACTAATATCTATTCGGGAGCTCTAAGTATAGCGTCCTAATTCATGCAAAGAGGCTTAGAGATCAGGTGGACAGAGAAGAGAACGACATCAGTGGGAGAGATCGGAGGGATACTGGAATCGAATGGACAGCAGGACTCTACTGTCGATTAGGTCCCAGCGCTCGCTCTTACGATAGACCCCGAAGGCGGTGCACTCGTTCATGCGACCAGATAAAGCAGCGCAAGGAGTGAGGAGCGCGGGAGGAGATGAGGGATGGCTAGCGTGGTGGGAACTCGGAGGCATTCAGTGGATAATAGCCATCGACTTTCGAGCAGCTCTCATCGCTTGCTCTTGCGGTGGATCTAGACATCGCGTATTCATCCATGGGGTGGATCTGCTAGGCGGCATGCCCATTAATGCGTCCATGCGAAAGGAGTAAGTGGATCGCCTGCTACTTCGTCCGCCGTCCTATATTCCTCAACTCGATTAGTTGATTTGAAAGACCACTACAGGATTTCGCAGCTTACGCATCACGTAGTTCTCCACCCTACCTAACCAGGAAATCGAAGAGTAAAGAAGGAAAGAGAGCGATATCAAAAATTTGAGCATACACCCATAGACAGTGGCATTTCTACGTAGCGAAAGACAGTTCCGGAACTAAGTAGAATAGTAACTGGATCACAGCCATTCCCCATTTTTCCTAGAAAAAGGGCGTACTGTACCGGACTGAAACGGATCTATAGCTAACCTGCTTCTACTGCACCCGCTTGTCGAGTACAGGAGACTGGGGGCTCTGGTCCTCCTCGCAATGGACACCCGGTTCTTGCATAAGACGCTTCGACGGCGGCAGTGGTGATATTGGTTCGAATTCGGGCTCATCAGATGTACGACGTCGTTTCGTGCTGGTTCGTTGCTCTATTTTGTTTAATAGAATAGTCGCCACCCGACTAATTGACTGTTCGATATCCTTGGCAAGCATTTCGCGTGTTTTATCCATGGCCTCCTATAACGTTCGAAGCCCCTCGACGTGCTCTATGTGCTGGAGCTTGATGAGGTTGACTTCATTCGCTATCTTGAGAAGGAGAGCGTCATGGCCGAAGGTACGGAGAGCATCCTGGGAGGCTGGTAGAGATCGGGCAAGAATTCGTGAAGGTAGCGGATGCTGCTGGTGCGGTGTTTGAGAAGCAGCCTGTGGAGAAGATTTGCCATGGACCTGCGAGAGGTGCGGGCCACGATGAGCAGCCGGCGACGATTGATCGGGACTCCCATGGCTCTGCCGCAGAGACGGCTGGTGGTGCTGGTCCTGGTGCTGCTCCTCCTCACGCTGTTGGGACTGGTACGGCTGCAGATGGGAACCGAGTTAGCGGCGAGATCGAAATAGGGGCGAAAGGGGGGAGACTGACCTGCCTTTGTGGCTCCGCCACTGGCCCAACCCAATCTAATTGTATGTTGTACGGTCCGTACGGTAGCTGGGCGTTATTTTGCTCAAGGTGCGGCCGGATCTGCTCCGGATCCGAGCATCGAATCGTCAGTTTCACACGGTCGCCGTCAGGCTGAGGGCTGGCCTGACTGAACTTCTGGGTCGGGAAAGAGCGACGGAGACCATCGATGATCTGGCGACCAAAGACGAGCCACTCCCTTTGCCAGGGCAAATGGGTTTCGACAGACGTAGTAGGTACGGATGTGACATAGCAAAGAGAAGGTAGGCGACGACCGGACGAAAGCTCTAAGGCGGAGTCTCGCGACATAGCCATTGCTCCCAATCCCTAGCTGGAGCAATGGAATGAGATAGGGGAGGTAACAGGAAAAGAGAGCGGAAGGGATCTGAAGAAAGAAATGAAGAAGTAGCGTAACCAAAAGGTGATGATACTTAGGAAAAGTCGAGAGAGAAGCAGGTGTTCACTGTAATGAGCAGGAGGATTGACTGACCTCGCCCTGTCTTTTATAGCCATCCCTTTCTAATATCATCAGCGCTGAATCCCCTCTAGTAGCTACTAAGCTCGTTGGCCCTGCGCTAACATCCCACCGCGGCGTGCCGCTTGAGAAGTATGGTCTGCTCTCAGCACGTTATGGGTAGCTGAACAAAGACTGAGTGGACGATAAGCCCTGACTTGCAAGTGGGCATTGAGAACTGGCATAGCCGCCCAACATGGTCAGGTTCGCTCACACAGAACTCTCGTATCTGGTTAGGGCTTCGTGGATCCTCTGTGTTCCTTTATGCGAGCTAGAGTTCCAAGGACTCCTGCCACCTCCGACTCGGACCACCCGAGAGCGGTGGTAACGCATGAAGCGCCTAAAACCTCAAGGTTGAGATGTCCATGCTGTGTTCCATCACCGTAGAGGAAATCCATGCATTACGTAGTGGATCCAGGGACGAGCAGATCCGAGTGCCAGTAATATCCCAGGCTCGAGTCCCCCTGATGAGGTACGTTGTAAAGATAGGGCGCGACAATGACGGCGCAGTGCGTGTTCCTATGGCGGCTGGAGCAACCGGCATCGAATGGTCCATCCCATCTGGTTAGGGAGCACCGGTTTAGCGGGAAGCGTACTAAATCAGTCAGCCTTGACAAGCTGCTGGGTTGGATAGTGCGAGAAAGGGGGCCTCTGCTGCCAAAATGCGGTTGTTGAGGGCCATTATCTTTTCGTTGAGTCTGCCTCAGAAGAACTAGTTGAAGTAATATCATGGTTAACGAAGCAGCTGACTTATCGCTTTAGAGCTGAATGGAGCGTTGCATCAAAGATGGATCCTGCAACGTGCTCGCAACGAGCTCGTACTCCTCTAGTAGACCTAAATCTCTAAGGAGGCACTCCCTGAGTTCTTCCTTGTTCTCACCCGGTACTTCCAGGATCTTGACGGTGCCAATTCGTACAGTTTCGCCTCGAAGAGCTTGTCCGGAAACCGATCTTAGAAATGGCGTAAGGCTTCATGTGTCAGGCCGCTGTTAGCCCTGCTCGTTCCAGGGGCTTCGGTGAGTCTTGGATCTATTAACAAGTCCAGCATAGCCTGGGGGAGTAGAGGAGGGGGAGGCTAGCGGCAGCCGTAGCAGCAGGAGCTGGAGCAGGGGGAGGAGGTGGTAGTGAAGGAGGTATCGTCAAGCTCATCCGCGATGTTGAAGCCGATGCCGGGCTCCGCTAGGAAGTCCCAGCTCTCGTCGGGCTCGTCGGGTAGCATTCCATGTCGTCTAACCTCTCCCCTACCCTTATTCCTCATCCTCATCATCGTCCCATCGAGGTTATCCGTCTAATAAGAGTCCTTCCTTGGTGGACATCCAAAGCTCCTCCATCGCCTTGTACCTCTTGCCGTCGTCGCTGTAAGGGGGAGCAGAGGGCGATCATGCGGTCAAAGCAGTGAACTTTCAGAGCGCTAGAAGGGAAGAAGAACCGGAAGTAACCCACTGGAAGATCTCAAGGCCCGATGGTACGGGGGGCGGGAATACTTACATCTTGTCGTATACCTGTTCGAAGAGAGATCGAAAGGACGAGCCTCTGCGGAAGGCGTCTTGGATCCTGTCTCGTGCCGTAGCCGAGAGGGGCCTGAGGACGTCGATGCCGACCACGATCGATTCGTGCCTCGACTGCTCGAAGTTCTGCGGAAGTTGGGTGATTCGCTGTCGGACCCTCTCGACTTTCGGTGGGATCGACTGGTACGCCTACAGCGCGTTGGCGAGCTGGGCTCGAATTACCCGAACAACGCTGAGGTGGTTCGCAATGTCCGGTAGGATGGCTCGGGTTAAGGTGACGGGTTGGTCTAGATTGCTTTTATATACACGAGGCAGATTGATTTATATACAGTAAGATAAGAATAGGTTTTTAAAGTGTGAAAAGAAAAAAGAGAAGGAAAAGAAAGATGTAAAAGAACGTAGGCGTTGAGGTCCGGGGGGGTAGGAGGGCGGGGAGGAGCTTGAGGGGCGGGTCCTGGTCGTAGAGGGCTAAAGGTCTCGGTATGCCTCGTTTTGGGTCCCTGTACCGTAGCGATCCAGCTCTCAGCCTGCAAAAAGATTTGTTTTGTAAAAGGCAAGGCGTCAACGAGCTGGGGCTAACTGGTATGGTCGGCCAGAGGGGGAGGAGACTTATAGCCATCCACGAGTCTAGGAGGTCTCTCAGGATGGAGGGAGGGGCGGAAAAGGCAGTAGTAGCGGAAGAAGGAGTAGGAAGAAGGCGAAGGGGTAGGTCCTGGTTGTTGAGGGCCAAAGGTCTCGATATGCCTCGTTCTGGGTCCCAATACCGTAGCGATCCAGCTCTCAGCCTACAAAAAGATTTGTTTTGTAAAAGGCAAGGCGTCAGCGAGCTAGGGCTAACTAGTATAGTCGACCAGAGGGTGAGGAGAGTTCTAGCCCTCCACCAGTCTAGGAGGTCCCTAAAACCGGAGGTCGAAGCGGAGGTAGAGGCGGAGGTAGAATCGGAGGAGGGCGGGAGGGGCCATCTTAGCGGAGGAGGCCAGGGATCGGGGAGGAGGTCCATGTTGGGTCGCTGATGGCAGGGGAATAGGGATTGTAAAAGGGCCATCCTAGCTCCGTGGGAGACAATAGGAGGCAATGGGAACAATAGGAGGGAACGGGAACAATAGGAGAGGATGGGAACAATAGGAAGCAATGGAACAATAGGAAGGAATGGAACAATGGGAGGCAATGGGGCAATCTGCAGCGAAAAGGGGATCTGCAGGCCAACAAAAAGAGCAAGAGTGATATCAGCGACCAAAAGAAGGTACAAGAATGATATCCACGAGCAAAGGAGGTACCAGGGGAATATCGACGACCAAAGAAGGTACAAGAGTGGTATCCCCGAGCAAAAAAGGTACCAGAGTGATATCAACGACCAAAAGAAGGTACACGAGCGATATTCATCTCCAAAGGGAGGGACAAGAAAAGCTGTCCATCTCCAGCATAACGAAGGGAAATGTATGTTCAATATTCGTCGTATTAATACTTCGATTTATTACTAGAGGAATTAGTCAGGTATTCCGGAGATAACAGCGAATAGCTAACATATTCTAATAGAGTGGGTCGAAGGAAGGTAGCGGAGTGGGTAAATTTAATAGAAGTTAGTAGTAACGAAACTAGTAGGGATATAAAACGGCGGAGGTGGGGTAAGAAAAGGGGAAAAGGGGGAAAGGTAAGTAAAGAACGGAGCGGGAATCGGATCGTGACGGAGCCGGTACACGGATGGGGCCGGGTAAGCGCGGATACGCACGACCAGGTGCACGGAACGCACGACCAGGTGCACGGATACCAACGACCAGGTAGATGGATACGCACAGACGGGAACTAGCCAGCACTAGCCAGCACTAGCCAGTACTAGCGGGCACGGACACGCACGGAGCAGGTGTACGGACACGCACAGACGGGCACTAGGCAGCACTAGGCAGCACTAACGGGCACGGACACGCACGGATTGGTGCACGGATAGGCATTGACAGCGGCATCGGTAGTTAGTCGGTACTCGGTCGGTACTCGGTACTCAGTCGGTGCGGGAAAGGAGGGCACAGGGCAACCGGTCAGGTATATAAAGCAGAGATATCCCGGTGGGATGGGTGGTGGGAGAAAGCGACAACTTCACTGTGCGAAGCACAGTTCGTACAGCACTTGGGCAAGCAATGGAGTTGTCGATAGTCGGAAATCGATGGACAAGTCGATAGTCGGAAATTGATCGACAAGTCGACAAGCTGACAAATCAGAAGCTGACAAATTGAAAAGCTGACAAATTGAAAAGATGACAAATTGAAAAGATGACAAATTGAAAAGATGACAAATTGAAAAGATGACAAATTGAAAAGCTGACAAATTGAAAAGCTGACAAATCAAGAAATTGAAAAGCTGACAAATCAAGAAGATGACAAATCAAGAAATCGACAAACTGTAGGG